AAACGTAACAACAAAGTTTCTGTCTTTCATCAAATGTTTGATTTTGGCAGATGTTCGAAGAGCTGATGCTGGGAGCTTTTTGGCAGAGTCTCAGTCTTATCTCGGTGAAAAGGTCTCACTCCTCCTGGAGAAACCTCTCCACCCAGCTTTTACCAGGAGACAAATGTTTTTTTTTTGCTTGATGAGTGTAAAAAAATCCACATTTTCAGCTTACGTCCTATTGCTTGGTGATCAAGAGTTTTATGATCACAGTGGTTATTGTCACTGAATACCATTCTAATTTGGTTTTCGGGTCTAAAATCCCAAAAATCCAGATCTGCAGACTAATGCAATCTTGAAAACGGGTGAGACATCTACTATAGGTTCTCCCAGACTGAGGTCATCTCTCCAGAATTCTTGAAAACATCTCAGAAATTGTATGGAGGACAAGGCTGGAATGCTGACCTGCAGCTTGATAATAGGTCCTCTGTGATTTCAAAGCACATCTGAAAAATAGTGGGTAAAAACAAAAGAGGCACAATCCTTTAGTTTTCCTAACTTTCTTTTAACTGATAAAAGCTGAGTAATTTATCCGGGTCTTATTTTGTCTTCTTTTGCCTGGAGATGCGTTGGAGGTGTTATGAATTACGCTGCATATCATTGTAAAGAATTAAAGGTCAACGAAAGGAATACCAGTTGGTTTTGTAATGTCTGATTTGTGCATGATAAAAAGTGATTCTCTTCTTGAGGGCCTTAAAGGAAAATGAGCATGGTTGAGGCTATCTGTGCTTCTTATTTTATTAGGTCTAAATAAACCGTGTCTGTACAAAATTAAATGGAAAGCAAGACTATGCCTAGGCTTCTCTGCAATATTGAAAGTTTATACATTTTTCTACTTCAAACAGCAGATTGTAGAAAAGACTGAAACGGGTCAAGCTCTAGTGATTACCTGGAGATCCTGAGGGTGGAGTAGAAGATCATTCATGTTTTTGGGAGAATGGCTGTGGAGAGTGTCACAGGGCTGGTGATAGTAGCTACAGCCGATTCACTCCCTCGCACTGAGCTCACAGGCTGCTAGCGTGGCCACACGTCTGCTTGGCTTCCCACATCTCACGCAGGCCTGCGCTGCGCTGAAATGCGTCAATGTCATGGTTTCCCCTGGTCAGAACTAGACCAGGCCTGTTTTCATTAACACCTGACTCGGTTTTTTTCCCCTTAACATTTTTTTTTAAACTCGCTACTTGCAGGGTGTCCTGAGACTACTCCAAAGCTACCGTATGTTTGGAATTCGGCAGCGATAATCTTGGCAATGTCGAGGAATCCCCTGACCGCATCCCTTGCGTTGTGAAGCCCCTTGCGGTGGCCTTCTGCTTGCTCTACCGTCTGCGGCTCCTGAGCGTCGAGCCGGTGTTATGTCGACTCCTGTTTGACTGAGTTTTCCTGTCTCTCTACTGTTCGTCTGCGTGGTCAACGGGGCCTTTTGTTAAAACCCCAGCGCTCTGGAACACCTTCCCAAAAGAAATCGGGGACTAGCCCTGATTTTTATGTCTAGGCTGGTAGTGTTAGCTTTGTTTTCATATATACCTTTGTAATTTTAATTATTTTTTGAGATGCGCATTGTACGTATCGTTATGATGATTTAAATGATTATTTGGAGGTGATGTAGTAAGACAAAGGGGCGAGACGGTCAGTCTTTTCTCCTCATTGCCTCTGAAGAGTGACATGGACTCCTCTTGGGTGACATGCCCGTAGGTCATAGGTTAGATTGGGCAGTCTGTGTCTACAAGTTAAATTTTGTGTGGCTGTGCTGTGCTCCAATAACCTCCTTATTAAATGCAGGGCTACAAAGCAAGGTTCCGAAAGGCACTGCATTTCTGTGCTTCAGATTAGAACAACATGGTCAGCCTAACGCCATCACTGAATTCAGGCAGCGATGCAGTTCCACACGCTTTTAAAAGCCAGTGGCTTTGCTCGGCTGGTGTCCCTTCAGGTAACCACCACCATGTGGTTCGGAGTACCTGACCAGCAAAGCACTAGGATTGTCTGGGAGTGCAGACAGCCAAGCACCCACTGTGTATGTTACACTACAGTTCCCAGTGAAATGGGAAGCAGTGTTTGACTTGGGTTTTCTTCTGTGTTTGAGCAAGGGACAGCAGAACATTAGAGAGAAAGGGAGAGACACCAAGTCTGAGAGCCTTTTCTCTGGGTGAAGGGAAGCACGCTGCAGATTGTGCTGTGCCAGGTATTTTGTAGGAAAGTCAGCAGTTTGAGAGTAAACTCAGGCTCTTTATCAGCTGCCATTAATCTTTGTGGATGGGTTTGTGCTGTATGATAAATGTACAAGGCCCTGATAATTAGCCAGACAGAGTCTTGATTCTGTAGCTGAAAAGAAACAGTATATATTCAACAGGTCAAATGATTTGTCCGCTGTTGCTGTGGAGCAATGTGCATTTTGTTTTTTCTCCTCCGATGACCACCAGTAGAGAGAGACCGTTTACCTCGAAACTCTGAAAAACTCATCTGGAATTTGAGTCCAGGGATCCGGTGTGTAAATTTGCCTCTTGACCTTTCCAATTTCCGGAGAGTGCTTCTCTGGTTTGTGGTCAGATAATTGAGAACCAGCTTCTCCAATCCAGCAGATTTTCGAGATCACTAGTTTCTAAAGGCCTTGGAACATTATTGTGACAATCAATCCCAGATGATTTGTTGATTGAAGAACTTCAGAGATCGCTAGGAGAAATAAACCTCTCCTACTTGAACAAATTTATGATTTAACAATCATAATGTTGTCATTTGGAAGTAATCCGTTTGGAATTGAATATTTTAGGGAGACCTAGAAAACGTCCTGGACTAGGGCTCTCCAGAGCCAAGTTCAGGGACTCCAGTTCATGCGAGAGGTGAGGTTTTTGTCAGAAGAAATGCTTACCCCGCCATGTGGGAGACATACCAGCATACATCGTGTAAGAATGTCCTGGCAACACAGGAGAAGATTAGAGCCATGATAAAATAGCGGTAAAGCAGAGATAGATTAAAGAGTTATTGTACGACCTTTCGGAAACCATGGCAAAGTGATGGTGTGGCATTGGCACAGTAGGACCAGGTACGGCACGGCCCAGACAGGCCCTGTTCAGTGTGATTAAGTCCCCTGAAGGGCCATCCCACAATGCCTTGCAGTGCCGCATACAATGGCTCATTGCACCTGTGTGGCCGAAATAAAAATTCATCTGACATAACGATCGGAACGTGCGAGCACGAAACCCAAATTTAAAAGCGTGATGTTTATAAGGCCGGACTACTCTCCCTCTCGCAGAGCCTGCCCAGAAGGTGGATTTAGCTTGTCTGAAGCGGTCCTGCATGCATCTTTGTATTGTGGTGTTCTTCCTGAGCTTTCCACCAGGCTGCGTGACTCCTTTTTGGCCACGGAAGGGGGCGATCCTCACGCCCTGAGGCCGCTCAGGGGATGGGTTCTGCAGAGACTGTGAAACATGGATTCTGCTGCTTATTCCCAGCTGTGGGCTTTATGCACGATGTCTCACTGACAGGGCCGCGTCTACAGAGCGGCGGGGCAGCTCGGGTGATATTCAGGCAGGGCCACCCGGGACTGTCTTCAGGCCCTCCCTTGCTCATGGCTTCATGAGGCAGTGCTAGAGCTCTCGCCTCTTGCAGGAGGAGCACGGGGATGAGCTGCCGTGTGTGTGTGTGTGTGTGTGTGTGTCCCGACACACTCACGTGGTCCAGCTTTCCGGTGGGCGTTCTTGCTTTAATAATGGCTTCTTCCGGGTTCTTATGTAAATCCAGGAATTACGAAATTTAGTCCAGCATCTTTTTTTAATTCCTTGTAAGTTCACTGATGCAGGTTTCCTCTGCTGCTTTATATCCGAGATGCACTGTGGGCGCTGTGAGAAACCGTGTACAGTAGGAGTAGCCTATGTTCATGTGTTCCCCTCATCAGTGTGCCTTGCTGTTCTCTTTGCTGCTCAAGTTCGGTCCATTTTTTATTTAATTCTGTCGTTGTCTGCCCCCACTCACGAATACAGCTTTGCATTGGGAAACTGCAGCTTGATTTATTGATGGCGAGAAAGAAATATTTTCCAGTAGTTCTCCTTGAAGCAGGCTGCTTTGTGCTGCTTTTTTATTTATGATATAAGAGTCTCTACTTTTATTCTATGTCACTCGACTTTAAAGTGCTTTGCGATGGATTCGGCTGAGAGTGAGGTGGTGGAGTAGAACATAACGGAAAGGTAGTTAACTGTGAGTGTTCAGTCTCCTTTTCTTTTGTCTTGATAATTATCCCCGATTTACAGCGAGTGTTTGGAGGGAGTGGTGGTAGGCTGCCCAGGTAGACAATTCAGACCGTTTTCATTGTGATGGTGACCCCACCTGTTCTTAGTCTTACCTCAGCTTTGGTTTTTTGCCATCACTAATTGGACTAATTGGACTCTCTCCATCTGGAGGTGATAAGCACCGAGGACCCAACAGCAATCTGTGTTCAAGGGAATCGGAGCTTTGATCTTGAGCCTGCTTTCCCAGCTGAGCCTTTACGAGCCCTCAGGCTATCTGCTGGATCGAGATGAGAATGTTTGAAAGAGAGTAGAGAAACTGTTTGCTCCTGAGGTTGAGGAAGCTTTCTGAGTATTTACATGTCCTTAGCCTTTTGCACTGTGTCTGTCTTTCACATTGATCAAACCCTATCCTGCAGTTTCCCTGAGCGAAAAGGTTAGTAGAAACAGGCAATCAAAACTGCCCCATAGGCACACAGCCGATATAAAGCACAGGATTTATAAACCTTCTCCTCGCCTTAAAATGAGGTGGAAGTCTAATATGTGCACTGCAATATGAAGTCCCCTTCAGTATTGCAAGAGGACTCCATAGCTATTCAGTTTCTATATATAAACTCAATTGTCAGTATGGCATCTTTTCAGAAAAGCTTGCCTGTTATGTAATCAGGTGTTTTCTGTTTGTAACGTATGCAGTCATGTAGTAATGGTTTTGTAATCACTGTTTTTGCTTTTCTCTTTCAGCTTTTCAGGGAAGTAAGAATAATGAAGATTTTAAACCATCCAAATATAGGTAAGCAACTTCCTTTGCCCTGTAATTATGAAGCAGACTTCTTGCTGTCAGTCCATTGCTGTCATGATGACTGTTCTTGTAATCGTGTGGTGGCGTTCGCAGCCCTGAGGAATTTTGCCACAAAATGCCTTCTTAAAAGTAGCAAGCCCAGACTGTTTTGCCCCTTGTCCGTGTGTGTCTGTTTACTGTTACTGGGACTGGGATAGCCATAAAGTCTGCTGCTGTTCCTGTCGCACCTGGTGAACGGATCCTACTTTCAGCAATCATTCAGCAGATTTACAGAGGGAATCCAGTAGGTTGCCTTCCAATTCCCTTTCAGTATCCTAATGATAGACATCAGTTAACCAAAATCAGGGAACACAAAAAGGAGTTTTCCAGTGTTTATCAGTGTTAAACAACTTCTGTGCCGTTCCATCTTTTGTGACATTTATAATTCAATATCCTGTCCTTTTTTTTTCCTCCCCCCTCCTCTATATTTAGAAAGCAAGCTTAGTGGTTTCTCATGTAATGAGTTTCACCCTCTTGAGGATTATTACTAGAAAGTGAAACGGCAGAACTCCTGGCTTTCCTTCCCTCCAGAAGGCTTGTTACAGCTCTGCCCAATTAATGTCTTCTGGTTCTCTGCTGAAATCGGGTGCAGAGACAAGTGAGCCCTTCACAGCCTGGGAGGAAGGCTTTCATCACCTTTTGGAAAAGCCCCTGCGAGCTGTCAAGAAACTGTACTGGGTGGCGGATCAGTCTGTCGTGTGATCAGTATCCTGTTCGCCAGCATTCTCCTGACATTTTTGATTAACCGCTGTGGGCTATATGACTCGTTACACACAACGGTTTTTTTTAATACATTCCTCGTGGCCCTTCATTTTTCTCTTCTGAAATGTGTATTGGCTCTGTTTGGAGGCTTTAATTGCATCTGCTGCTGAATGAACAATGCTAAGATCAGGCTGTCCTGTGTGTTTGATCCATCTGTAAGAATGCGTATCCAAGATGTCTTGAAAGGCGATGCCATTTCTCTTCTTGTGCTGGCTTGTCAAGTTATTCAGCCCATTCTTGTGCTCTGTAGAGCTGCACTGGTTTGCTGAAAACTGGGAATGCTCAAGGAGAAAAATAAGTGGGTACATGAGCCTGCTAGTTGGTCATTGAATATTGCAGCGTCTGACCTGATTTGTTTTCTACTTTTGAAAGAAATGATGCGAATTCTTAAAATACACTGATAGCGCACAAGCTTTGAGGGCACGGTACAATTGATCGCTAAACCTTGAAGCGAGAACGTTTCAAAGACCGACATTGAACAACTTGGGAAGTAGTTGTGGTGTTGTAGTTGTTTTGTCTGTTTATGAGCAGTCTACTGAAGACGAAGCCTGTTTGTGCACTGGGGCAGATGAAATCCTGTTTTTACGGTCAGGGATCCCTTTTTACATTATTTAGGAGGCTTTTTTATATGCTGCAGGTTATAGTGCCTGTAGTTGCTGTTTCTTTAAATAATAAGTCAGGCATTTTAGCATGACAAAATCATATTGTTCCCATACATGTTTTTAAAACCTACTGTATAATTGTTCATTATTAAGCATGATCACATGCAGAATTAGTCTTTTGTGGTTGTATTGCTGTTTTACTGAACTTCCTCCCTTGCATTGGGTAGTAGAGTAGTGAGTAAGCTGTTGGACTCAGGTTGTGGGTTCGAGTCCCCACTGCAGACACGGCTGTTGTACTTTGCCCCAGTTGCTCCAGTCCATCCACCCAGCTGTATAAGTGGGGTCAGGCATTGCTGGGGGGGGGGGTCATCCCTGCTCTGGACTGCCTGGACATCCCTGTGGGCGGGGGGACCCTGTGCTCTTCAGTCACTTACCACTACAGAGACCAGGAAGAGCTCTGGCCCCTCGAGCAACTCTGGACCTGCTCAGGCGCTTGACCCCGTCACGCGGGACATCAGAATAAACCGTCCTTATTCGTATAGCCCGGGGGTTCCCAACCTTTTTTGTCAGCTGAACCCCTTCAGCCTGAATTATGTGCCTCAAGTACCCCCTTGAGATTTTAACTAAATCAGTCCTTTCAGTAAATGCTACAGCAACCCTCTTAACATGCTTCTCTTCACTTTGTTAAAATATGAATACTACTACTGTTGTTTTTCTTATTACATTGTTATTTATTAATAGGACTGTTTAATTTGACATTGACGTTTCCGTCACAATCTCGCGAACCCCTAGGGGCTGGCGAACCCCTGGTCTAGGGGATGTTTAGCATGTTGAGCGTGAGAAGTTTTTCTAAACCGAGCAGTGGCTCGCGCTGAACCCCCGACGGCTCCAGCTCAGCCAGGGCTCCCTCGTTGAGCCCTCGTTTCTCTTCAGTCCCGACTGGTTTCCACCGCCGGCAGGTCGGACCACCGCTACAGTGAAATCTCCTGGGCCTGGGTGGGGACTGAGAGGCCTCTTTCTCAGATCACGCTTGGTTTCACGTGTTTACAGAAATTGTTCTAATGGAACAGGAAGCGTGGCGAGGTTCTGTTTTTATCAGTGCTTTCAGGTCGGTGTGATTTGAGAATCTGTTCTGATCTGACAGAGGTTCGATGAATAATTCCCGTTCAGTCCTTTTTGTTGTCCCCACTTGTGCGTTCTCTCCTTGATATTTTGGCTATGTTGGGAAAATAAAAGAAATATTCCAACGAAACAGTGGCTTGATTCCTCCGCTGGCCCCCTTATGCCACATGCATCTGATTCTCCCTACACCCCCTTTCTGTTCCTCTGCCCCCTGATCCGCCTGGTCTTTGAACCCCTCTCAGTGGCTACTCCGAACTCATCTGCCCAGACAGCACCCCTGATCTCTCAGCTCTTCGCTACATCCTTCAATTCTGCATTTCATTGCGTTGGTTTTGGGTCAGTAACGGTAATATAACTTCCTGATTGCACTTATTCATTCTTAACAAGACCTACATTCACCCACAGCTCAACCAGCATGTGTGCTCTGTGTCCACGCCGCACGCCTTTTAATTCTTTGCTATTCCATTTGCTTGCGTCCGATTTCTTCTAGCCTCGTTGTCAATTTATTGATTTTTTTTTTTCAATAAACTAATGCAAATGTTATGTGGGTTGAGGACTTCTGCTGAGCAAATAAAAAAAGAGTCATGTAACAGGTCCCACACGTAGCTGCTGCAGTGCATGACGAACTGGTAAGCAGGGTCAGGGATCTTTTTACTCGTTGTGTTAGCCCTTTGGAAGCAGGGCCGCTCGATCAGTTTGCCATGCTTCAGGCACTTCACATCGGCTTTTTTCACAGAGATGTGTGGCAGATCATCTGTGGGAACATGTGACAAGCACTGCTTTTTTTTTTTAACCGTGTGCTTGCCATTTTCCATTTCCTTCGAGGAAGGGCAGATCAGCGTGGCTCCACTGGAGTCACGTTTATCGTGTGCCCATCGTGTATCGCTACCTGTTTGGGCTTGAAGCCTGTAGGTCATGTGAAGTGGCCAAGCAAACTCTTAACTAGTTTGTGTCTTTGCCGATCCACATGGATCTCTAATAAGCGTACAAGAGACCAGGCTGTGATTTCCATTGCCGATTCCTAAGCTTGAAAAAAGCTTCAGTCATTGGCCTGAGCTAGGAGAGAGAGACTTGGTCCATACTAAGAAAACTAAGCTTGCTTATCAATTATTAATTCATTTCAGTCATGTGTAGGTTAGAAATTTGATACACGGTTTTTATAAAGGGAAAATGGAGATTAAAATGGGGGAGCTGCATCAGCCTGCAGTTTTATGTACTGGTGCTTGTTGTCATTACGCTGCACAGTCAGATCCATGGCAAGGAGAAACACGATGAGCGTTAGGCTATGTTAATTTCTAGCAGTGACTGTTGCACAGGTGCACAGGGCCCAGGGGCAGTTGGCAGTCTGCACAGCTGCTCTTTTTTCGGTTAGCCCTGAATGATTGCCCTAGACTAAAAGACAGGCACCCCCTGCTGGGAAAAGTCAATGCAATCAGTTTCTGAAAGCCTACTCTACGCAGGGTGGAAGCAATTGGTTCTGCATCTGTATGCATTCATTCCCTTTGCATAAAATGATTTAGTTAAAATGGTGCTATGTTGATTTACGGACATGAAGCTTTAAAAATATCTGCAAAAAACCAAATGCCATCCACAATACTCATTTATATTTCCTACACGATATTTAGATGAGTCTGAATTGTTTTCAACCTATTTGCTTTTAGGAGTTATTGACTGGGCTGTTAATATTAAAATTCTAAAAAATGTGACTGAAAAACTAAATGACTAAAATGTGAGTTGGTCTTAAGAAAATAATTGTTGGCATCTTACAGGTTTGTAGCAGTTGTTTTTTTTTTTTAAATCCGTTACGTGAAGCTAAAAATAACCACAAAGCAAAAGAACAGGATTGGAGCAGAGGAAGAGTAAGAAAAGAGGTTAAGGATCTGAAGTGTTTCTGATTCGTGACTGTGGGCGTTTTGTGCGTCTGTGATAAATTTAGGTACAGTTAGAGCAGTACACTGATTCTTCTGTTAATGAGCACTTGTCAGATCTCAGCTGCCTGCGAGGTGGGAGTTACTCGAGAATATTCACAAAAAAAATGACTTCCATCAAATTTCCACCCTTTATATTCTTATTAGCAACATTGTGTTGCAAGGAAGCTGTTTGTAAATACATTTTTAAAAACTTTTCCTTTTTTTGCCTTAACAAAATGCTTCATTTTTAGTGGTAA